ATGGCGATAGCAAGCGCTACTACCTCGTTTCGGAACTGTAACTGGCAAACCGAAGAGTGAAGGTGATGAGCAACCATATATTACAAGGGAATGATACCGAAAGAGGAAAATATTTTTTTTCTTTCGGTATCATTCCCTTGTTGTCTCTGCAATTACGGCAAAGAACTCAGTGAAGAATGACTGTCGACAAAATGTTGTTCAAAAAGCATTCGCAGTTTAGTTCTTGAGTGCGATCTCGTACGTCTGCTCGGCGATGCTGCGTTCCTCGTCCGTGTTGATAACCAGCACCTTGGTCTTGGCGTTGTCGGCCTGGATCTCGACAGGTCCAGAGCCCATCATGGACACGGCGTTCTTGTCTTCGTTCAGCTCAATGCCGAGGAAGCCCAGATTGCGACACACACGCTCTCGGATCATAGCCGAGCTCTCGCCAATACCGGCCGTAAAGATGACAGCGTCCAGGTCACCACCCAGTTCCAGTGCGTAGGCACCGAGGTACTTGCGCACACGGTGGGCGAACACGTCCAGCGCTAACGCAGCAGCGGGGTCGTTTCCTGCACGTACGCGGTCCTGGATGACGCGGATGTCGCTCTCGTCACAGATACCGAGCAACCCGCTCTTCTTGTTGAGCATAGTGTCCACCTCCTGGATAGTCATGTCCAGTTCCTTGCACAGGAAGGCGTGGAGCGCAGGGTCGACGTCACCACAGCGCGTGCCCATTACAAGACCTTCCAGCGGGGTCACACCCATGCTAGTATCAATGCAGCGTCCCTTGCTGATAGCCGCAATACTCGAGCCATTGCCCAAGTGGCACGTGACAAAGTTGCATTGCTCCACAGGCTTGCCGAGGAGAGCAGCGGCCTTCTTGGCTACGAACTGGTGGCTGGTACCGTGGAAACCGTAGCGACGCACGCCAAAGTCCTCGTAGAGTTTGTGAGGGATGCCGTACGTGAAGGCCTTGGGCGGCATTGTAGCATGGAAGGCTGTGTCGAAGACCACGACCTGTGGACACGGGCCAAAGACCTCGGTGGCCACCTCAATACCCAGTAGATTGCCAGGGTTGTGCAGTGGGGCCAGTTTAACGTTGGCCTTGATGGCCTCAATCACCTGATTGTCAACCAGTGAGGCGCGGCTAAAGGCCTCGCCGCCGTGCACGACGCGGTGGCCCACGGCCTTGATACCTTCAAGATCTGAGCCGAAGAACTTGCCCACGGCCGTCTCCAGGGCTGTACGGTGCGTGTCCAGAGGCAATTCGATCTGCTCCTTCTTGCCCGTGGCCAGCGTCTTGTGTGTGATGCGGCCGTTCTTACTGCTGGGCGTGGACAGCTCCACGAGGCCCGTGAAGACAGCGGCACCCACGCCTTCAGGTTCCAGGCCGAATAGTGAGTACTTGAGCGAGGAACTGCCAGCGTTGATCACCAGCAGATGCGAGTCCGCTACGGAGGATGAGAAGGCGCGCGTGGCCAGTCTGGTGACCGGTAGCTTGGACGAGAGTGAGCGCAACATGGCAAAACTAGTTGATCCTCTTGTGGCGAAAATGGAGGAATGATACAATTGTTGGATGCACCAAAAGTTGTCACGTACTTGTGCGAGTTGCAAATTGAGGGGCTCTAAATAAAAATGTTGTTGGTAAATTTCACAACATGTTGGAAATGCAAGCTTGCTTTGGTTGCAGTGCTGGTGCTTCAAGACATGTGTTGACTTGCTGTTATAGCGCGGTGTTGTGCTACATGTATGGACAAGAACACCTTGCGTGTGCGTCGATGAGATAGCTTTGCATCGAGGAAGACGCAAGGTTTACACACCGCGATTGACTTGGAAAGTGTAGGGCGCGTCATCCGGTTGCAA